AGGGAGGGAGGGAGTGGAAGAGGTGTGCTTGAATGGAGTTGGCCGATTTCTTTCAGAAGTGAGATGCCAAGCCCATAATTTCTCGACAGCACCTCAGCTGACCTCCTTTGGGCCTGCTGCCCAAGGACTCCCAGTGCCCACACCCTCCACCCGCCACCTAAAGCCCGGGGCTCAGAATGGGGATCCCTGAGGTGACCTGAGGTCAGTCGAGCTGAGGCCCAAGTCTCCAAGCTGAGGCCCAAGTCTCCAAACTGCCCTTGTGCTTCCACACAAAGCAAATTGTATATACAGTACACGCCCACTCGCTTGTTTTAAAGTGCAAAGAACAATGCGTGCAAAAGCAACGCTGATGACCTTACACTGCCAGAGGGTCAGAAAGTTAGCACTGTCCCCTGGAGGGGTTTAGGGTCACTGGTGGGCTGGCCAGTTAGAATCGAGGCCGGATTATTCAGGTGTACCATTTGAGATAGACTGGCACAAATCTGAAAATGTGACTGGAAATAGATTCCGAGTGGTTAGAAATGTGGCCCCAGGGGGACTGCAAGGGTCCCATTTCCCTGTGCTTTCAACACTTAGGGGCAGAATAAATAAACGGGTCACCAATGTGGAAAAGTGCCCGGCTTTAGGGAAAAATTTGGATTGCCCTAATATTTTTATTTTTAAAAAAGCCACCAGGACATTTGGAACACAAATAAAAAAATCAAGGTGTGCAACATTTAGTCAGCTCTAGAAAAAGAAATTAGAATATTTCCTCACCGAGGAAGCCCTTTGAAACAATCATTCCTAGGTCACTTTACTTATGGCATTAACCGAAGCAGGTTCCAGTTGTCTCTGCTTTTGCTCTCTCTTCAAAATATTCTCTAAAAACTCTGAATGAAAATATAAATGTTCAGAACAAACTATTCAGAAAATATAATAGGATAAGATTCAGAAATGTTTACATCAAAAATGGGAAATTTGAGGAAAAGAAGACAAGATGGAACATTAATTGCCTGAGTTATGTTACTAATGAGAATTTCTGAAGTCCAGCTTTCAGTCAGTTTTGCCACATTTTCTGAAGAAAAGATCTCATTGATCTCTCTTGACTTTTTATAACTTGATTCCTGACAAAAATATTTAAAATAACTTGCCCCCTCCTCATCCTAAATTCTCAAACCTCCAGTCAAGGTGCAAGTAGATTCTAGTTTTGCATAGTCTTATTGTCATTACTTTACGTGTGTGTGTGTGTGTGTGTGTGTGTGTGTATTTAGTTTTATTCACTGGAGCCCTGGCCAGCAGATAATTTTCTAAAAGATTCAAAGCACACTGATTGAGAGTTTAAAACGTTGGATTCTGTCATTTACTCCTGAACTTGTTTCACTGTCCCTCTGGCACCAGAAACTGACTCCGTCCTGCACCCAGTTGCCCATGATTCAGCTGAGAGAATGTATAACTGTGTTCATCTCCAGCTTCATACTCATTGAATTTTAAAATCCGCTCCTTTTGGTTTTGAAGCAGTTTGTTGTTGAGGTAGCGTCCAGGGGAAGAGTCCAAAGACATACACATTAGCAAAGAGAGAGAGAATTTTTGAGTGTACTTCAACTTACATCAGTCTTCTATTGATTATTACGCAGAAATAATGAAGTGCTCCTTTTCAAGAATAAGAGCAGACATGCTTAAGTCTATATCCACTGTCCCTTGAATTCAAGTAGGATGCAGAAGTAGAAAAATGTGTATCTTTTGAGAACTGACTTATAAACCATCAGCTGGTCAGTGAGAACTATATAACTCAAAGTGTTAACCTCCCCTTCAGAAAGTTCAGATCCGAGTATTAAATATGCAATTGTAATATCTCGTATAAATATTATACAAAATATTTAATAATATTTCAGATAACTATTATAATATTAACATATTTTAAATCTCAGGTGGATGGGTTATACATATGTTAGTG